AGACATAATAAATATAGAGTACTACAGCTGATCGTTCAAGGGAAAATAGACAGCAGAAGGGGTCCAGGGAGGAGAAGACACTCGTGGCTCCAAAACTTGCGGCAATGGTTCGGATTGTCATCTGCTGAACTATTCAGATCTGCCATAAACAAAGTCAGAATAGCCATGTTGATTGCTAACGTTCGGAACGGACAAGGCATATAAGAAGAAGACTCATGTTGGGTGAGGATCCTTACCCACAACGGGCAAGTGACAAACAGGGGTCACCGAATCATTACTGCAAATAAAATTGCATCTATGTGACTTTACATAAACAACACAACTGAAAATATACAGCGAAATTACAGTTAGAATATTTAATTATTTAAAAACTGGTTTACAGGAATTAAAACGCCTTCTTAACATCATGGCACAAATAATTTTGTTTTTTGAAGAACAAGCACCTCATTAATTTGCGAGCAATTTTCTCAACAAACTAAGCAATATTTCAAAATTGACTGTACATGAGCAAAATAGTAAAGTTTTAAGATATCTAGCAAGACAAAATTCCTAAGTTGCCATAGAACATAATAGTGCACAGACAATCTTCCCACTACATAATCAACGTGTGAGCTCCAAGACAAATTAGAATCCAAGTAAACACCTAACAACTTAGTGGCGTGGCTATTTACCACTGACCCATTATTTAAACAGTAATGACTCATAGTTTTTGCAAGACAGTTTGCTTTTTGTACTACATAAAAAAAATATTGAAATTTGGTGCAACTCTGGTATCGTCAGCAAATTGGGTGACATAACCGCCTGATTGCTGTTCCACGTTTTCTACTCGAATGCTTATTGCAGCAGAAAAATTATATAATGGTTTCTGAACCAAACATGTTGAGCTATCGTTTATCAGTTGATTTAAATCATTGACGAAAATAAAAAATAAAAAAGGGCCAATGATACTTCCTTGTGGAACTCCGGAAAGGACATTTTCTTCTGAAGAAAATATTATATTCCCGTTCACATTGACCTAAATTTTCTGAAACCTTTTCGATAAAAAGGTGTGGATCCACTTTAACGCAGTTCCTTTAACAACACTATGATAAAGTTTATCCAGAAGTCAAAAAACAAACAGATAACTTTATTACTCTTATCAAAGTTCGATAAAATATGATTGCACAGCGCTAGTAGTGCATCTTTCAAACTTATACCTTTACGGAAACCAAATTGAGACTTTTCTATAATGTGCTTGTTAATATACGAGAGGAGACGTGTATGAAATGCCTTCTCATGTATTATTAAAAACACAGGTAAAAGTGATAGGCCTCGATAGGTATCAAATTTTGGTTTGTCACCTTTTTTATGTATAGGCACAACTAAAGCGGTATTTAGAATTTGAGGAAAAATCCCTTCCAGAAATGAAAGGTTTACTAGAAATGTTAATTGTTTGTATATGTTATGAGATACACGTGTTAACATAGAATACGGGATCTCATCCAGTCCAGCCGAGGATTTTTTTGAGATATCTTTAATTATATATTTATTTCTTCATCGCTAACAGGGGAAAGGAAAAGGGAGGGTATAGGCAAAGAAAGATTTCTTAGGATTATAGTCAGGTCAAGTTTGACTAATTAAATTTTTTACGGAATTCGAAAAATGTTGACTGAAAGATTCCCAAACTATTTTTTAAATTTACTTGGGTATTTAGAAGAGTTTCGATTTTTACCTCCGACAGTGTTTCGATTTATGATGCGCCAAGCCTCAGCCGTACTATTCTGCTCATTTATCATTTTATTATTAAAATAAGTTTGCTTGGCTAACTTAATTTTGTATTCATGATCTTTTTAGAATGTTATAGCGTATTCTGAGCTCATGAATTTCTGAATATTTTATAGATTTGAAAGTGTCGCTAATAAAATCTCCCTCATTTATTAAATTAGAAGTCAATTAGCCCTAAATTTTAAACTGTTTAGAAAATATTCTAGTATCCAACGTTTGCAAAGGATCGAATAGTTCCATAATATTTTTATAAAATATGCAAAACTTGTTATCCGAAGATAAATGTGAGTTTAGAAAGCACCAAGATTCCCTAGAGAGCATTTGAGTAAAATAATTAATATTAAGAGTACTATTAAAATTACGTTTATAAACAATATCATCCTCCGAAAAAGAAGCAGTCAAGTTGTATTCATCAACAGATGAAAATAATAATATTTTTATAAGTAAGAGTTAGTTGTCTTATAAGTTCAGTTATTATTATCTCAGTTAAATTATTTTAAAGCAATTTGCTTAAAATAATTTCTGAACTTAATAAATTACCACATAAGCGAGAAGTGAAACAGGTAACAGGCAATCTTCCGCATTAAAAACCAAATGCTGGTGATGAGTTTACCTATCTACGGTGATGAGTTTCCGATCTACAAAGGATGCCAATGATTATCATACTATATCTAGAAGGGTCTAACAATTCTATGGAGTTCGTACACGTTTTAAAATACTCTCCACCAACAAAATCCATCAGGAGCAAACGTGTTTCTAACGCTGAATCCAAATTGATACAAGTGGCCAACAGCGTCAGTTTATGAATTATACATATTTACAATTAAATAAGGCTTTTTTTATACATATTTTTAAATTTTACACAGTGCACCTAGAATTCTGTTTTTAATGTGATGGCACTTAACGTGTTAAATAAAAAAATAGCTACCGGGCTGCTAAATATCAAGAAGTGTGGTATAAATATATTCAGCATGTTATAAGCCCACATAGATAAAAAATGATATTGTCAGATATGGATGTCGTTTTCTTTTTGTACGAATTAATAAAATAATTTTTAACGTTATTAAAATATTTTTATTTTAAGTTTGGTTACAATGCTGTTGGTAATATATTTTTCTGTTATGCTTTATCTGTTTTTGGGCTGCTGTTTTAAATAATATTTTTGTGTTTTTCTTCCACGTTTTAACACTTTATATGTTTTTCGTTCATTAACATCGTACACTTTTACATAATAATACATTTTAACTACACTTAATTAATTATTAATGTTTCACGCATTTCTCTATTTTTGTGCACATCTTGTCTCTTTTTAATGTTTTGTGTTAATATGTTTTTTAAATGCTTGAACAAATATCAAAAATTTATTCACTACATGAGAATTCATTCATTATTTTACTATTTGTTTAAAAATATAGATTGACAGGAGAACATTGATTCACCAGATTTTATTTATATTTGTCCAAGCATTTAACTACATGTAGCTTATTTGCTTGTTTTCTTTTTTATAGTGTGTCCATCGAGCAAAAAGATAAAAGAGGGAATCTAATCGTTATGAAAAGGAGACCAAAAAAGTGGCCTCTGATGGCGGACATATCCGGAAATGCAAAGGCGCTAAATTTAAATTTTCCAACACTTATTAACAATAGCTATAAAATATTTTTCAGACGAGAAAGTTTTAATTAAATATTAACTATAATAGTCTAAAAAGTGACACAATTGGTAAAAGATTTCAATATAAATAAAATTTCATGTGACAGTTGGGACAAACAATAACATAACCTAACTAAATTTGACTTCTTAAACAAGGAAAGAGACTGTCTATCCTTGTCTAAAGTGGCCTCTCAAGATGGCACTTCCTGTCTATCAATATGTTTACCCCCACTACCTTTACATTCCCTCTTTTGTCTTATTGCTCGATGAGTGTGTCTCAAGAAGTTTTATTCGATGGGAAAAAATACGTTACGTCTTACAAAAAATAATTATTAATGAAAAATTTGGCATAATTTAAAAATCCATAAAAATGTAAATTATTATGTATCCTTTAAAATTTATGGCATTTGGAGATCAAAATTAATATTATTTTAGTCGATATATCGGCCACTTTTATGTTATTTATTGAATGAAATATAAAGAAAGTAAGTTACATCCATAATGTACAGATCAACCAAATTTACAAATAATTTACAAAAGTTTTAATCATTTTTATATTTGGTCTTCTTATTCCGTTCTCTCCTTTCGAAGGTTTGCGATCCAAATGGCAATGGCAGCTTTGGAAATTGATGCACGAAAGATTTCTAAGAATGAGCGGTCAAACTATCTCCTCAGGTTTTTTAGCCACAAGTTCTGGGGTCTTCCAACTGATATTTTGCCTTGTACTTTACCTTACAATATTATTTGCTCATACATGCATTGAAACACATACACCTAGACCCCAAGGTAAATATTAATTTAATCAAAAATCTATACTACAGTCAAACAACGGTCGTAAGGGTGGAAGATCTATCTATCTATCTAATCAGCCTTAAACGCCCACTCTTGGGCATAGGCCTCCCCTGTTAATTTCCATTGGTCTCTATTTTGGGAGATCTGCATCCAGTCTTTTCCTGCTGTTCTCTTAAGATCGTCAGTCCATCTCATCTGTGGTCTTCCTCTTTTTCTTTTCTTTTCCCATGGTCTCCAGTGTAGTATTCGCTTATTACATCTTTCATCTTTTTGCCGGAGAGTGTGACCGGCGAAGTTCCATTTAAGTTTTGCAACCTGTCTTGATACATCGTTCACCTTTGTTTTTTCTCTGATCCATGAGTTTCTTCTCCTGTCAGCATCTGCCTTTCCATTGCTCTTTATGTTTTTCAAAATATTAATTATCGCCTGCTCAGCTTTAAGTTCGCGTAAGCCTTCCCATAGATTTGATCTTAGGTCTTACCTCTTCATACCTTATAAAAATCACGAATAACAACAGATTGCTGGTTGTTAATGAATAATAAATATTTTGTAATATTTAAAGTAAATTTTCCACCAATATTATAAAATTCTTGGGACATACGACAGCAATCAAGAGAGTTAAAAGAGTCACTTTATACTTAAAATATTAATAAACTATGGTAAAATTGATATAAGACAATAAACTAAAAAAAGTATTTAATATTTTTTTACACTCTTGGTTTAATATTACGACAATTTCTTCCAAATTTAATAAGATCTTACTAATTTTTCACTTTGGACGATAACTTTTGTAGAAAAAACATCTTATATTCCCACACCGAACATAGTCGATGAAAACAAAGGACATACAACAATTGGCGATACTATCAGACTGAAGTGTAGTCCTCAGTATAAAAACATCAATGTGATGTTTGATTGGAAAACTCCCACAGGATTTAATGTAAGTAAAAAATTTGTTTGGTGTTATTATCCATTCTTGGAAAATATGTAGAATTCTACAGGGTGATTAATTTTTGCTTGGTTATGCCCATTTTTATTTCGAAATTCCTACATATTTTCCAAATATGGAAAATACCGTTTCCTACCAGTTTTTAGGATATCTTATACCACAATGGAATTATCGACCAATGTCGCACTAAAAACTTGCCCTTTATATATACATTACTCGTCGGGATGAACAACGTTGAAAACTCGACGTTTCGGCGCCCATTTTGGAGTCATTGTCAAGATTAAGAAGAATATGGTTCCGTTCGAGTTTATATCTACAAAAGAACTAACGAACACAGTGTATTCGTAGTTCTCTGTATCTACTCTCCTTACTCGTGAAGTAACCAGTATCTTGTTCTCTACAAATACGAGAACCGTCAAACAGCGCTGAGATCTCAGTATGCGCGGGGATGATTTGCGTGAAGATGGTCTGAACATTTTTGGCTGGCGGGAGGGAGGGGAGGGGGTAGCTGAAGCAGCGAAAACTGTTTTGACATTTTCATGTTTTTTTTTTGATACTTTCGAAATTTTCATGTCATTGCAGGTTAGATTAAAAAAATTTTTTAATATAAATAGCCACTGTTAAATATTTAAATTAATTAGTAATTTTTTACATTTATGTTTTATATTTTTTAGGCAAAAAGGATGAAGAAAATTGATACCCCCAATGAATCTACATTGACTGTTTTCAACGCCACGAAAAACGATAGAGGAGTCTATACATGTGTTGTATTCGATCATCAAAATCACCGTAATTCTAGAAACATCACAATGACGGTTTTTGGTAAATATATTATTATTACTATTGACAGTTAGTTACTTGGGTCTGGAAGTAATTTCTTCTTATTTAACCACCTTTCCAGTCTATGTTTGATCATTCGTTCTAATGTTTTTAGTAAGCAAGGCATCAGGGAAATGAGTCTGTATGAGTCAGATAAATTGGGATTATTACCTGGTTTGAGAATAGGAATAATAATTACATCTTTAAATTCATGAATAATTGAATTATTGATAATTATGTCGTTGAATATATCCAATAAAAATAGTTTAGCAATTTTTGGAAGAAACTGAATCATAGGATATTTAATATTATCCAATCCTGAACTTGAATTATTTCTGTTTTAAGTGCATACTCTAATTCAGTAATACTAAATGGTTCTAGTAAATCCCTATTATAGTTATCCCTATTCTATGGTGAGCTTCCGTTTGATTTATTGAATTTTTCTGCAGATTTTCTGGTTTTGACTTTCTCTTCTGGAAATACGCTGTATTTCTATCTAGTCTTCTAAGAATATTATTTTTATGACCAGCATCTACAATGATCTGACCAATTTAGTTTCGAGTTACTTGATTGTTTGAAATCCAGATCGTGCGTAAATGTCTTTATGTAAAAATATAAGTTGATTGCATTAACAATAATTAAGCTTTTTGTATTGTATTTGAGTATACTATTACTTTTCCAGACAAGCATTTTCACGATATTATTATGAGAGAAAGATCAGATACTTACCGCCTGGAAGCAAAAGCAGGAAAAGATCAAGTCACGTGGGTTGTAGAGGTATGGGGTCATCCAGACACAACATTTAATTGGTAAGTAGATTAAGAGATATATTATAAATGAATACAATTTTGTTGTGAATTTACTAACAATGCCTCTCAAATTAATTTTTAATTTCAAACCAACAAGATGAGTTTTAAGGTTTACAGTTTTCGTATTTATGTAACGTCTTCTCTGAGCTTTGAATAGTTCTACAGAACTAAACGCTCATGTAACCTAAAACAACGGCCCTCAGTCCCGGGCACCTCTTAAATGAGGAGAGGGTGCTAAGAATCCCCCGGAGGAAAACAAAAAGAAAAGGCACGTGGAATGTGAGAAGTCTATATGAAGCGGGAAAGGCCGCAAATTTAATTCAAGAAATGGAAAGACTTGATATCGATATAGTGGGATGCAGTGAGGTAAGATGGCCAAATACAGGTACCTGTGTGATGGGCAACTATACAGTATTCTATTCTGGAGATGAAGGTGAAAGATGTAGAGATGTCGATTCTGATGTATACTTGTGTTTTATAGACTTTCAGAAGGCGTTTGACCTGGTGAAACATGATAAACTAATAGATATTTTAAGGTCATGTAATATCGACGATAAAGACTGAAGGATCATTTCAAACCTCTACCAAGAACAAAAGGCTAAAATCAGAATAAAAAGCGAAACATCTGGAAAAATCAATATCGAGAAGGGAGTAAGACAGGAATGTATCCTATCACCTTTGCTGTTCAATGTTTACTCTGAGAAGATATTTCAGAAAGCTTTGGAAGGCACCTCGGATGGTATAATTATAAACGGGCAATGTATAAATAACCTGCGATATGCTGACGACACTGTCATACTGGCAGATAATGCTGAAGCCCTGCAACGCTTAATGGACCGAGTAACGACAGCCTGTAGAGAATTTGGAATGAAATTGTATACAAAGAAGACAAAAACGATAGTCATCAGCAAGCACCAAAACAGAAGGGTCAATGTCGACGGAACAGATCTGGAAAGAGTAACAAGAACAACGTACCTTGGAAATAATCTTGATGAAACTTGGGACCACTCACTAGAGATAAAAATACGCCTGGTAAAGGCACGTACAATGTTTTACAAAATGCAAAAAGTTCTATGCAACCGCCAGTTGGGCATCTCATTGGGAACTAGAATACTTAAGTGCTATGTTTTCTCCACCTTGCTCTATGGTGTTGAAGCCTGGACAATGACAGAAGCAACACAAAAAAGAATCCAAGCATTCGAACTCTGGTGTTACCGTAAAATGCTCAGAATATCCTACATGAGCCATACGACAAATGCGGAAGTCTTGCGGAGGATGAATAAGGAAAGAGAGCTTATGCTTTTAATAAAAGAACGGAAAACACAATATTTTGGTCACATCATAAGAAATCAAAAGTATGAACTGTTCCAACTTATAATTGAAGGCAAAGTCAATAGCAAAAGAGGACCAGGAAGAAGACGCAACTCTTGGCTTAAAAACCTACGGCAATGGACGAACATGACCTCCATAGAACTATTCAGGGCTGCTACAAATAAGATTAAATGGGCAAATGTAATGGCCAACGTCCTTAAGGATAAGGCACCGTAAGAAGAAGACAAAACTATATTGATTCCTGATGGATTTAATTGTTAGTTGATGAAAGTTTATTTTATCTAACAATAAAAAACTGAAAACTTTTGTTTTTAAAACTTCCATACAATTAATTACATGTTATCATCACTACAGCTGTTTCAGCAGAGTGCCTTTCTTAAATGATCTATTTTTGGTATGTGCTTACACTTTATAGCCTTTAACTGTATAAGTTAAGAAGGGGAGATCTGTTTGTCTCAAGTTGGTCGTTTAGAACTATGTCTGTATTTTTTAATTTATTAATTTCCATAGATTCTAATAAAGAGAGCTTAAGGCATTTATTTTGAATGTGTGTTTGAAATTGGTCATCAAAAAATGATTGTGGTCTAGAAGATGAAGTGCATTACAATCTATTTTTCTATTATTGAAAGCTTCTTTATGCTCTGCTATCCGTTTGTTAAAAGTTCTACCAGTTTGACCGATGTAAGTTTTTGGGCAGTTCGACATTTTTTTAAGTATTGTTCTGAAGCTATTTTCTTGTGGCATTTTAATTTGATTACAATTTAAATGGGAATAAGCCACAATTAAAGGTTAAAGTCGTTCTTAAAATACAAACAGTTAATTTTTTTAAGATTACATATTTTTTGGTATACAATATACATGCTTTACAAAAAGCTCTATTTGCATCAGTTTTAACTTTGAGTAACACTTCAATTATAATGTTTTATTTGAAGGACAAACAATAGAAACGAAACAATACCAGCAGAGAAGGGAAGGAAATATGAAGTTGAAACTACAGCACCAGAGTTTTATAGCCCCGACCAAAGAGATCTAATTTCCTTGAAAATCAAGAATTTAGCCATCGGAGATTTCGGAACTTATACGTTAATTGGACGCAATAAAGCCATGGAGAAGTCTCAAACGTTTTTTCTGAATGTCACTGGTAAGTTCCACTAATATTTGAGAAGCAACTGAGCACAACGTATTAAATAAAAAATATATGATTTTGAGTTAACGACAAAAAACTAATTAAATTATTTTTGAAGCTTTTATTTTGTTGGATTTATTTCAATTTGCTTAAACATAGTGTAGATTTATAGCATTTTGCTCCATATAAATAAATTTAACCGTTTAGCTTAATTTAGGTTGGATTTATGTTAATTTTTGGGAGACTATCCTCATCTATTCGTCTTACATGATTGTATCACATCCTCTTCCCCATCTTACAATATCTTGAATTTTGCACTGCTCTTTAACGTTTGTATTTCTCACCCTGTCTCTTCTTGTTTTGCCTGCTATTGCTCTTAGGGTTTTATTTCGGCAACCCTTAGCAGACATCTCCCGCAGACATCCTGACAATGCGGATGTTTAGCTGATCTGACTCGACCTAGTTCGACCGATGTGAGCCCGAACCACTTCCGCAGATTTTAGAGCCACGAGTGTCTTCTCCTGCCTGGCCCTCGCTTACTGTCTATTTTTCCCTGGACAATCAATTGTAGCAGACGGTACTTATCGTGTCTCAATATGTGGCCTAGATATTCAAGCTTTCTTTGTTTAATTGTATTCACGATTTCGTTCTCCTTTCCGATTCTTTGGAGTACCTCTTTGTTGGTGACATGTTCGGTCCAGGATATACGAAGAATGCGTCGGTACACCCACATTTCGAATGCTTCTAGTTTTCTCGTTAGCGTCTCCGTCAGCGTCCAGGCCTCCACGCCATACAGCAAGATCGGAAAAATGTAGCATTTAACTAGACGTAGTTTTAGGGGAAGAGACAAATCCTTGCTTATGAGGAGCTTTTTGATATTGCTAAATGCTGCTCTAGCTCGTTCTATTCTCGCCTTAATTTCTATGGTCTGTTCCCATTTTGCATTTACGTTGGTGCCAAGGTACACATAAGATTCTACATGATCAATTAGTATGTTACTTATCCGTAATTGTCGAGCTTGTTGTTGCTTTTTGCTTATCAGCATCCACTTTGTCTTCTTGAAGTTGAGGCTCAGGCCGTATTCCTCACTAACTGAATAAAGTCTTTCCATTACTTCTTGTAATTCGTCTATGGTACTGGCAAGGATCACCGTGTCGTCGGCATATCTTATATTGTCGCCGTTTAATTTTATGCCCTCATTTGCATTTTCCATACATTTGTTAAATATTTCCTCGGAATACATATTGAATAGGAGTGGGGATAGTATACACCCCTGACGGACACCTCTTTTGATCTGCACGCTTTCAGTGAGTTCGTTGCCAATTTTTGCTCTTGCTGTTTGACCTCAGTATAGGTTTGCCACAATTCGAATGTCCTTATCGTCAATACCTGTCTTTCGCAGAATACCTATCAATTGTTCATGATTGACATTGTCACATGCTGTTCTAAAATCTACAAAGCACAAATACAGGTCCTTATTAACGTCTCTACACCGCTGTATAAGCACCTGGAGAGCGAAAATTGCTTCTCTAGTTCCAAGTGCTTTCCGAAAACCAAACTGCGATCTATCAATATTTGACTCACATTTATCATATATTCTTCTATGAATGATCTTAGTGAACGCTTTAGTGACATGATTGATCAAGCATATAAGCCGGTAGTCATCACAAATCTGGGCATTTGGTTTCTTCGGGATTGTAATAAATGTTGACTGCAGCCAGTTCTTCGGGATTTTACCGCTATTATTATATGTTGTTAAAAAGTACAACTAGATTATCAAGGAACTGTTTGTCTGATTTAAAGACATCTATGCCCAGATATCTGAATTGCATCACCTGTTCTATGGGGTTATTCTCAACCACTAATTTACATCTGAGCGGATCTTTTGCTGTACTGTACATCAAGTAGCTTTTTTCCTTGTCATCCTTTGTTATATTAATTTTGTGCTTTAATCGAGCACACAGAGAACAGCAATTAGATGCAGGGGAAGAAAATCTGATCTTGAATTCTGTTCTAAAAATATTGGCAAACATCATCAAACTGAAGACATATTTAGGTTGGCAGATAAATAGATCCTCTTTGATTTTGATGTGTTATAGTGACTTTCGCAGCCTTTTAAGTTTCACACTTACAATATTGTAAAAGCAGACATTCAAATTTCAGTAAAATCGATTTAATAGATTTCGCATAATAATTTTGCAATCGAAACTTTTTTCAAAAAGTTTTAAAACTAATACTATTGTGAAAAAACTACGCATTCTAAATAAAAACGTTCAACAGACGACTTTTATGTAAATACTTACTCTTTATTAAAACAATGTCTATAAACTAAAAAGGTATTGCAAATTAAACTCAAAAGGAAACATGTTTTAAAACGTTTAAAACACATTTCATAATGTGAGTTTTATTGTAGTTACTACATTTATTGCGAATTTTTAAATGGCTGTAAAGCTGCTTTAATAATATTTACAATGTTTTTTTTGGTCTGATTCTCTTTATAAGGTCTCAAATTTTCATGTTTTTTAAAAAATAATACTTTTTAAATGTTTACTTACAAATAATTGATGCAGAATGAAGTACCATTACCATTATTTTGGCAATACACCTAACTTATGCCGCATGGTATATTTTACATTCTTTAGAACATTCTAAACAACTGTATAAATATTTTTTAATATTAAATTTTGTTTTTATTTTAGCCGGACCGGTCGTAATTGTGAAAACAGATCCGTTTCATTTAGTAGGGGTCCCAGGAAAAGTAACTTGCACAGCTGCAGCCCATCCCCCACCTGATTTCAAGTGGGAGTACAAGTCCTGTTTACAGGATACTTGTCAATACGTACCAGTAAGTACAGTATATTTCATGAATTTGTGACTGCTTTGGATTATTACCAGACTCTCGATAGTTAATGGTTCACTTTTTACTTCTCATTTTGATACTGGTTTAATTTGCTAATAAATAAAAATTTGAACATAACCCAAGTGTCACAAACATGTGACATCAAAATTTTTAGCTACTACTTATACAAAATGATTTATTTCTTTAATATTAACAAAAATTACTTGCACTAAAAAAAAAGAAACATAAGTTTAATTGTTTTTTCTGTGCCATTCAGCAACAAGGTCTAACACAACCCAATGGGCTATTCGTCACAACATTCCTGACATGTGTACCAAGTAACAGCTCTTTTATTGCTTACACTGTACTGTCGACATCTTTTCCGTTTATTTTTTTTTTCAAATTGTCTTTCGCAACATGTGTTTTTCTGCTTGGCCATTTTATTTGTCCCAATAAATGTTACAGGGAAGTAAAATGTCGCATTGAGCAAGCTCGACAAGCTTTCGTAAAATTCAAGAAGGTACTGACTTGTTCAGAGTTCGATCTTCAACTGAGACTAAGGTTTACTAAGTGCTACGTATGGTCAGTGCTGCTATACGTAGAGGGCTGGACACTCAAAACGAGGGATATAAACAGATTAGAAGCTTTCGAAATGTGGCTTTATCGCCGTATCCTAAAAATACCATGGACAGCGAAAATCACAAATATAGATGTCCTTAAAAGAATAAACCAAGAACGCCAACTTTTCGAAACCATCAAGAAAAAGAAAACGGCGTATCTAGGTCACATCATGCGAAATGAAAAATACCAGTTCCTCCAACTTATAATCGAGGGTAAAATTGAAGGCAAGAGAGGAATGGGACGCAAGAAAATGTCCTGGCTCCGAAACATAAGGCAATGGACAGGGATTAACGACATACAATCTCTGATATATATTGCAAGAAATAGAGAATTAATGGAAACTGTGATCGCTAACATCCATTAGTGGATTTGCATCTGAAGAAGAAGAATAAATGTTTGATCACTTCCTCGCTAAACTGAACGTGCGACACTCTTGTTTTCATTGACGTGTTTGTTTATATTTTTATTTATCAACTAATTATTGCCATTCCAGATGCAAATATCTACTAAGTGAAAAAAACTTTCATGTACCATCTCAAAGTCTTTCGCGGTGTGTCATAACATGAAGTCATCTGGTCAATTCTGTCAATTCTCGACATAAAGGAATTTTAGTCACGTATTATTACTGACTTAAATTTTTTCTGGCCTTTACGATTTTCAACCGTTTCGGAACCATGCTTGAATGAAATCATTATTACATTTCTCTTATCTTTAGATTTTAATACTCTCATTGGATCTCTTCTTTGCCATACGACTTCTCCTTTCTTTATTTTTTTAATATCATCCTTTGGGTTACTTTTCTCTGTACTCACTAAGTTCCCTACTAGCCATCTCGGCCTCTAATTGAAGATCTCGTGTACTTAGATGTCATTTTGGCATTGTTAAAAAGTCTGAAACAAATAATAAGAGATTACATTATGTAATAAGTTACACAGTTATTATCTGTCTAAATTATGCTCAATAACGACACTTTTGTATTTGACGTTTGCATACGTGCTACAAATTTATAGGTTACCTATTTCTTTTTTTTTTAAACGTCGAGATCACAACCCAGCCATTACGTGTGAAAGAAGGATTGTTCAGGTAGACTGTGGTCAAATTTACACCCACTGTGATAAAACGTGGTAAAATTATTTTACATTTCATCACGTAAGATCGGTGTCACACATGTGTGTCAGCAGATTCAGCAAAGAAAACAGCCTGTTTCCAGCCTTATAACAATAATCTATTTCTCTTTATAAAAATAATAAACATTTAAATTTAGTTCTTAGTTTTTCGGCACCTAAATATTTATTGGACTGATCGAGATATATTGTCAAATTTCAAGCAAGCTGGTTTATTGAAAATTTTCTTTCATCTTTGTTATTTCTCCTAATTTTTAAGATATTTTCTGATTTCTTAAATTTCAGATTGAGAGCAAAATTATATCGACGGAGGGTGTAAAGGTAACTTCCGAAATTGTCGTCAATCCAACAGAAAATGGACTTGCCAAATGTATAGCAGAAAATTCTGTCAGCTCGGAGGCAGATGTTATCGGATACTTTGTGACGGGTTAGTATTATTATTTAATTTATAAAATTGGAAATAAAAAAACGCAAACGTATTTTTATAAAAATGTCTTTAGATATTAAGATATTAATAAAAACAGTTATTTTCGACTTTCTAAGTGCATTAAAGAAAAACGACCTAATATTTAAAAATATATATTTATAAATAACTCATTTCATTTTTGTAATATAGATGTGAGGCTAGGGTAGCGGGTAGGAACTCCTTTGGAGCCCCTTGGATTCTATTGGATAGTCCTATCAGGGAAAGTGAATCAATCCCTGCCCTCCGCAGATTCCAGGAGCTTCTTGACCCGGGAAGCTAGCACCTGCTAAGGGTCCCTTGTCCAGGGTCACGGATGAAGTCCAGAACGGCATCCAAGGCGACGAAGAATACTTTCGATACGGCGAAGATGGCGGAGCTGGCAACCCTTGATTTTAGGGATAGTATAAGATCACAAACTGTAGCGTCTGATCCAGAATGGACGGCTGAATACACACTCACCAACACGTCTGGGCAGCGCGGTGTTGTAAGGCTAATAACCTCCCCAAAATGATGGCGAATTCTAAAACGATAGGAGTAAGTCCCCAGGTGGGTAGATCATACAGTGTTGGCAAGTCCCACTCCTTTATAAGAAAAGACAGCTTCATGGAATCTGGGGGAAGCAAGAAATCGCTAAAAACAACAAACTTGAATATAGCAACACTCAATGTAAGGTCCTTAAATAGAGATGAAAAAATCTATGAGCTGGAAGAAGAAATAAAGGACTTAAAATGGGACATAATTGGTCTCGCAGAGGTAAAAAGGAAAGGTGAGGAGCCTGAGGAGGTGAGGAGGAGGAACAGAAACGACTGGCGAAATAGACTGGGGAAGGTCAAGGCTCAACTAGAGCTGTAGCACCACTGATGATGATGAGGAGCGCATAAGATTGCAATCAGGTAACATCTTGTATTACAAAGGGCACAAAGAACAAAGTCTAAACGGCGTAGAATTTCTGGTTTCTAAGAAACATGCTAATAAAATAGAACAATATGTGGGAATATAAACGAGAAAATCACCCTAAAAATCAGTCAAGTGTACGCCCCAACTTTAACACACCCCGATGAAGAGATAGATGAGTTCTACGAGAAGATAATAGAAACCAACACGAACTATCACAGCACTTATACACTTATCTACATAGCAACAAATATTTCGTAATGAACACATTTTATAAGAAAAAACCGGTAAGAAAGTGGACGTGGTTATCACCAAGACGGAAAAACAAGGAACGAAATCGATTACATCATGTGTAACAAGAAAGGTATCGTAGAAGATGTAACAGTAATAAATAATGTCTCTCTGGGTAGTGATCACAGAATGGTTAGAGCTAAACTAAGCATTAAGTATAGCAAACGTAGAATTAACTTTAATAACACGATAGAAATAGACACAGAGAAGCTAAAAGTCGATAAAGAAAAATATGCTAGTAAATTACAAACCGCCCAAGCACTGAATCTAGAACAACTCAGCGTTAATAAAATTAACTCAGTTATAACAAAAGTACTATTGAATGCTAGCTCAGAAGTATCAACCCGCCATAGCAACAAAAAATCCAAAATAAGTGCAGAATCGAAGAATATGCTGAAACAACGAAAAGAGCTCCTGTCACTAAATAAAAGAAATACCACAGAATACAAAGAACTTAATCGAGCCATACGAAAACAGATAAAAGACGATATTAAAAAACATCAACAAGAACATGTAGAAACAGTGATAGAGAAAAATCGAAGTCTGAAATATACCAAACCGAAATTAGGAAAGAAAAATATTATAACTATAAAAAATCAACAAAGCCAGCTAGAAACAAGCAAAGGTCAGCTCAGTTGAAAACTTCTATACTGAGTTCGCTCAAGAAACGATCCCCCCGACTCTTCAGAGCAAAATCTGAGAAGACAAATAACAAACGTAAATTCTGAAGTAATGCCCGAAATAAACGAAGTAGAAATAGAAAATGCAATTAAAGAAATGAAAAGAAATAAAGCACCGGGTAGTGATGGAATTCTGGCAGAAATGTTGAAAAAAGGCGGAGAAGAAGTCATCAGGTACCTAAAAATACTTTTTAATAAATGCCTATTTGAAGGAAACATACCAAAAAATGGAATACTGCTAACATAATATTAATACACAAAAAAGGGGACAATACAGATCTGAAAAATTATCGTCCAATATCACTACTATCACAACTTTATAAAACATTCACAAAAATAATTACAAATAGATTGACAACAAAGTTCGATGTATATCAACCAGTAAAGCAAGCCGGATTTAGAAAAGGGTTCAGTACATGTGACCATCTTCACACACTAAAGGTCCTAATAGAAAAAGTTAACGAATACAATTTACCAATCTGTTTAGCATTTATAGACTACGATAAAGCTTTTGACAGCATAGAATTATGGGCTATTGAGGGAGCACTGGTCAACAGCAGAATTGACTCTAGATATAGGATATTAATACATAATATATATCATATATATAACACGCTGAAATGGTAGTCACGATGGATAACGGAATGAAAACGGGGCCAATAAAAATCAACCGAGGAGTAAGACAGGGAGACACCATATCTCCAAAACTATTTACTGCCGCACTTGAAGACATCTTTATATCAAATAAATTGGGAAACGAAGGGACTATCGATAAACGGAAAGTATTTAAACCATCTAAGATATGCAGATGACGTAGTACTAATAGCCGGCAGCTGGAAAGAACTGAAGACGATGATCGATGAGCTTTATACGGAATCCATAAAAAAAAGGACTTAAAATGAATCTAAGCTAATGTCGAATAAAGATGATTAACCGACGATAATCATCCAAGAAACAAAAGTGGAACATGTAGAAGAATACATATATCTGAGTCAGAATATCAAGGTAAATAAAGAAAACCAAACTACCGAAATAAGCAGAAGAGTAAGAATGGCATTTGGAAAACTCTCATACATACTGAAAGACAAAAAGATACCCCAAAACCTTCGAACCAAAGTGTTCGATTCTTGTATCCTTCCCGTTCTCACTTACGGAGCTCAAACCTGGACATTCACAAAAAAGAACATGGACAAGATTCGAAAAACTCAGCGAGCCATGGAACGACAGTTGCTTGGTATCTCACTAATAGATCGGCAAACGAACGAAGCAATCCGGAACAAAACAAAAATAAAGGACGCGCGAAACAAGCAGGTAAATTAAATTGGAAATGGGCTGGACACACCGAACGTTTTGAATATGGTAGATGAAACAAAGAAGTCGGAAACTGGCGACCCTACGATGCGAATAGACCAAGAGGAAGACCTTAAATGCGCTGGAGCGACGATATCGAAAGAGTCGCAGGACCAATGTAGAAACGCCTAGCACACAACAAAGATGAATGGCAAGAAATGGAAGAGGCCTTTATTCGACAATTCGGATAGAAAAAGGGCTACAAAAAAAAAGATGTGAGGCTGAACAAGGGCAGAGAAAGCACTAAACCGCAGCGAATTAAAATGTTCATACTACACGCTTATATTTCGTTGATTACTGGTACTACCGCGTCGCGTTAGATAGATCTTAGTTTAAAATGTAAACTAACATTTTTGTAAAATGTTCTTTTTTTTGTTAACAGACTTTAAATAAACTAAAATAAGCAATACATTGGTGCAGTCGGTGTGAGCTTACATAAAACCTTCGAGCACTGAATCCATTGTTCGCTCGAGGTATCTTCAGAGAAGAGTCCAGTACAAAACATACATTCTGCTTACTCTTCCCCAATGTCACACTTCATGTCATCATCATCTAAAATGAATTCTTCATCTTCTTCAGATGAACTAAAAGCTTCCTCTTTCTTAGCACTTTTCTTTTGAACATTGGTTGTCATTGTCTTCTTAGCAATAGATTTTCCTTTATTTTTATTTGTTTTCTTAAAAGGCTCACATTTGTCTATTTTTAATTTTGGAATTCCCTTTGAAATACTTTTATTTTTCTTCTGTTCTAACAAACTACTTTCTAAGGCATCTTTGTATGGTGTACCCGTAATCAAGGCAGCAGATCCTTCGCAATCGAACCAAGTGTTCAATTGTTTTTTCTGCCTTGTTTTTTTGTTTGTCCTATCATAAATTCATTCTAGTATCAGTCTAGAAACTTAACAAATCAATTTAAATGGTACAAAATTAGATTTTCTCAAATATTATTTTATTTACAGACATACCTGACGGGTTTGCAATCACCGGATTTGAAGATACCGTTATAGTTGACGAACCACAGCATAAAGCTATATACGCAGTTGGCGAGAAGATTCATGTAGTGTGTTCAGCAACTTTGTCCAACTACAGCGAAGTGAGTTGGAATCTAAATAGGCGACCTATACACCCAACAGCAAGTAAGTATTATTTTCTATTTAAAAATCAAAAAACGCTTAGATAATTTCCACATTTTCTACATTTTCAAATTCAGTAAAATGTATATGTACATTCAAAAAATCAGTGTAAAAATGGTTTTAGCTGTCTTTATTTATGTACCGGGTGGTCCAATAAGCCGATCTCTCGGCTATATATCAGAAACTATTCATGTTATAACTTTAGGAAAAAAAATTCCTTAGTGAAAGTGGCCAAGAGAAATTGCTGGAAATAACTTTCAAGATTCTGGATTAACCGCTAGGGGGCGTAACCTGTGAAGAAAACTTTGAAAACCAGTTTTTTGTGAAATATGTCCAATTATACCAAGTGTTAAATAAGTAAACTAGAAAGAGGCATAAATTCTGCACAAAGTTGTTTAAGTACTTTTTTTATTTTTTCAAATAAAGGGTGGGGGAGAGTGGGAAACTATTTGTGGATAAATACCTATAACTTTGGTTTGGATCAACCGATTTTAAAGAAATTAGTGTCATTAGAAAGAGTGTGGATCAAATAATTTACATCTTCTATAATATAATTGTATTTAGTTTCAATTGTCATAGGTAGACGGTACTTTCGAATAGAAAAAATTAAAATTTGTTTTTCTTTAAAATGGTAAATAGAAACATCTATTTATTGCAAATTTAAATGGAACTGGATTAAATTCGTAACAAAATGGCGTAAACCGCTTTTTAATAGCTTTTGTCGAACTCGAGATATGAATAAAAACGCATAAACATAAGTAAGTATAGTATTGACTCACCCTGTATTATAAATTAAACAATAAGACAGTAGGTACTTTAAAAAATATTTATAGCAGAAGAATCTTAATGTTGATACCTATTTTAAAAATTGTTATTCCATATGATTAAAAATAGTTCTTTCGAAACTAAGTAGGCTACGACAATGAATTTGACGGAGAGTTCATATTGTTTATTTATTGACATCAGTCAAAACATTCTTAAAAAGTGCTATATTATAATTAGAATTGAAGATTGCATTTTTTTTTTCAATAGATAATAATATTGGTAATATTAGTAATTAATTATCAGTACTAACAATTCGTTATGAGTACATCAAATGCATAATTGTATATGATTGGAGTTTATTTCGAAAGTCACAAAAATGCCGCTATTGCCTCACGTATATATTCTGTAAGATATCCTGAGAGGAGACATTATGCCAAAGAAGTATTTGAAAGAAAGGCAAGAAAATTAAGAGAAACTGGTAGTTTTCATCGTCCTTGTTTTAAACGACATAGTAGAGGTATGGCCGAAGATATTCAATCAATGTTCTTGCTTTAATTCAACAAAATTCACATAAGTAGTCGGCTAATCTCTATAGAATTAAACATACCCAAAACTACTGTTCTAAGGATTTTAAAACACCACAGGTTGGTTTTTCGTATTATAAAGTGTACGTTTAGGTCAGAAACTTGGAATTCTCTTTAAACTTTAGATTCAACTGTTATTTTCATACAGTATCATTGTGAAACAATTGTGGATTTTTCAAGATTTTTTGAGTTTTAGTAAATATAGTGGTTTCTTTTTCACCAATATTTGTTGTTCTGTTTTTTTATACTGCATCCTAATCATGTAGTTCTCCACCAAGCTTTACATAAGAGATATTTTGATGCAAGGCTGGATTACTGCAATTAGATGTTAGGTCTGCTAGAAAAACAACCGCATATCATGTCAAAGATTTTGTGGACAGACAAGGCTACGTTTAACAGTGCGGGTGGTGTTAATCTGAATAATATGCATTATTGTGCTAAAGAAAATCCGCACTGCATACATGAGGTGTAGGTTCAAGGTAGATGAAGTCTTAATGTTTGGTGTGGTATAATTAATGGAAATATCGTAGGTCCATTTTAATAGAACTTTAAACGGCGAAACTTATTTGGATTTTCTGGAAAATCAGTTGTCCGTTTTATTGGAAGATATCCTTACAAACAAAAAGAGATATGATATTACAATATGACGGGTGTCCTGCGCACTTTTCCAGACGAGTTCGAGATTATTTGTATGCAAGTTATCCAAATAACTGGATTGGAAGGGAAAGTATATTTTCATGGCCAGATAGATCTCCAGACTTAGTGTACCAAACTCGACCAACCACGCGAGACGACATGAAACAGCGCATTAAAAAAGCAATAAATAGTATATCAACAGCTGAGATTGAAGCAGCTGTTATGTCTACGCGCGAAAGATTACATCTTTGTGTGGACAACGATGGAAAACAATTTAAACATTTAATTTGACATTAAGTTTTAATGATCGAGATATTTGTATGATCTTTCACATATTTAATTTTAATTTATAATACAGGGTGAGTCAATACTATACTTACTTATGTTTATGCGTTTTTATTCATATCTCGAGTTCGACAAAAGCTATTAACATGCTGTTTGCTTCATTTTGTTAAGAATTTAATCCAGTTCCATTATAATTTACAATAAATATGTGTTTCTATTAAAAATTTTTAAGAAAAACAAATTTTAATTATTTCTATTTGAAAGTACCCTCTACCCATGACAATTAAAACTAAATGCAATTGTTTTATAGTAGATATACATTAAATCATCCATACTCTTTCTAATAACACTAATTTCGTTAAAATCGGTTGATCCAAACTAAAGTTATAGGTATTTATCCACAAATACTTTGCCACTCTCCCCCACCCTTAATTTGACAAAAATATAAAAAAGTACTTTAACAACTTTGTGAGAAATTTAGGCCTCTTTCTAGCTTACTTATTTAACACTTGGTATAATTGGGCATATTTCACAAAAAACTGGTTTTCAAATTTTTCTTCACAGGTTACGCCCCCTGGCGGTTAACCCAGAAACTTAAAAGTTATTTCCAGCGATTTCTCTTGGCCACTTTTACTAAAGAATTTTTTCTCCTAAAGTTATAACATGAATAGTTTCTGATATATAGCCGAGAGATCTGCTTATTGGACAACCCGATACATTTCACTTCTACAACTGTCTATTCCACTGTGAAAAAATTTCTTTTTTTTCCGATTTGTCATACGATAAAGAACTCAATGTTTTCAAATTTTTCTAGGAATTAAGTTCTCTAAACAAACCAGCAAATATTCTAGTAGTTTATTATTGGAGATTAATAACAGCAATAAAGGCGACAGAGGGACTTACAACTGTGTAGCACGTACTCATACAGGAACTAAAAGCAAAGATATTGAAATTTTAATAGTGGGTAAGTACAATTTTTCTACTATAAATACATAGGAAAACAATTACAATACTTAATTTTGCATTTCATAGGCCGCTTTTGAAAATATAGGCCTATACAGTTAATCATTAATTGTAAAAGGGTTTTGATACAATTTATGAATTTTTTATTGTTTGTGATGTATAGCGTGAGTCAAATATTTTTTTGGGTTATAAAAATTGCGTTTGAAGCATTTTTTTTAATTCTCCTAAAATATTATATACAGTACAACCTGTGTCAAGGGCCAGTTGTAAAACGCTGTTACCTGTACTAATGGCAAATTTCAAAATTAACAAAACCGATCATGAACAAGTTACTCTAATATTTATTTTTTAGATCCTGTTAATGCTAAAATTACTGATACAAATATGAAGGGAGAGATGATGCAAGATTTCCCTAACCCCGTTATGATGCACTGCTCAGTCACAGGTGTACCAAAACCCAAAATCAATTGGTATAAAGTGAGTATAATGTTTATTTCTCAATCTTCTCGATACCTCTAACATTATCTACAAGTTACATCCCAATTCAGTTGGCCCTACTGAAGATAAGAACACTACGTGAATTTTATTGATTTTGATTTGTGTAAGATTATATGCCACCCTAAAGAGTGGTTATCGATTCGATATACAGTATTAATTGTTAATAGTATATTACTTTATGAGGCGGAGAAGCATAACTTTTCTTGACGCGCCCGATATTCACGCCTCACTCGTTCGGCGCGTAATAGAGGGCAAGTTAAGAAAAGTCGCTTCTTTGCCGAATAAAGTATACAATTTTTTCTTCAAACGTAGCAATTTTCAACCATAGATAGTACAATTCATACGCTATTTTTACTCGAAATTAACTGTGACAACTATCAAAGTCGTCTAGATGTTAGAAATTAAAATAATTAAGTCGTCGGTGGGATTTGCGTCTCCCTGGTTACAGTTGTTTGACAGTTGTTTGCAATTATTAAAGACAGCTTATTGTTGTTGCAACCGCAAGCGCAAATTTAGTGCGAAAATGGAAAACCTAAACGAAATTGAGTCCGCGGCTAATGATGCAGTAGCACGTTTGGGGCCCTCCAAGTCCGGAATAAAGTATCGGTTAGTGTACCGGGTGGTCCAATAAGCCGATCTCTCGGCTATATATCAGAAACTATTCATGTTATAACTTTAGGAGAAAAAATTCCTTAGTAAAAGTGGCCAAGAGAAATCGCTGGAAATAACTTTCAAGATTCTGGATTAACCGCTAGGGGGCGTAACCTGCGAAGAAAATTTTGAAAACCAGTTTTTTGGGAAATATATCCAATTATACCAAGTGTTAAATAAGTAAACTAGAAAGAGGCATAAATTCTGCACAAAGTTGTTCAAGTACTTTTTTTATTTTTTGAAATAAAGGGTGGGGGAGAGTGGGAAAGTATTTGTGGATAAATACCTATAACTTTGGTTTGGATCAACCGATTTTAACAAAATTAGTGTCATTAGAAAGAGTATGGACGAATTAATTTATATCTACTATAAAATAATTGCATTTAGTTTTAATTGTCGTAGGTAGAGGGTACTTTCGAATAGAAAAAATTAAAATTTGTTTTTCTTCAAAATTTTTAATGGAAACACCTATTTATTGTAAATTATAATGGAACTGGATTAAATTCGTAACAAAATGGCGCAAACCGCGTGTGAATAGCTTTTATCGAACTCGAGATATAAATAAAAACGCATAAACATAAGTAAGTATAGTACTGACACACCCTGTATTATAAAATAAATTAAAAAATAAGTCAGTAGGTACTTTCAAAATTTTTTATAGCAGAAAACTCTTAATGTTGATACCTATTTTGACCATTGTTATTTCATATGATTAAAAATTGATTTTTCGAAACTAAGTAGGCTACGACAATGAATTTGACAGGGAGTTTATATTGTTTATTTATTGACAGCAGTCAAAATATTGTTAAGAAGTGTTATATGTATTATAATTCGAATTGAAGATTGCATTTTTTTTAATAGATATTAATATTGGTAATATTGGTAATTATTGATTAGTACTAATAATTCGTGATGAGTATATCAAATTGTATGATATGATTGGAGTTTATTTCGAATATCACCAAAATGACGCTATTGCCTCACGTATATATTCTGTAAGATATCCTGGCAGGAGATATTGTGGCAAAGAAGTAGATATTTCGGACTACTTATATGTGGATTCTGTTGAATTAAAGCAAGAACATTGATTGAATTATCTTCGGTCATAACTCTACTAAGTCGTTTAAAACAAGGACGAGAAAAACTACCAGTTTCTCTTAATCATATCATGCAATTTGATATACTCATCACGAATTATTTGTACTGATAATTAATTACTAATATTACCAATATTAATATCTATTGAAAAAAATGCAATCTTTAATTCGAATTATAATATAGCACTTCTTAACAATGTTTTGACTGCTGTCAATAAATAAACAATATGAACTCCCCGTCAAATTCATTGTCGTAGCCTACTTAGTTTCGAAAAAACTATTTTTTACAAAATAGGTATCAACATTAAGATTCTTCTGCTATAAAAAAATTTGAAAATACCTACTGACTTATTTTTTAATGTAATTTATAATACAGGGTGTGTCAATACTATACTTACTTATGTTTATGAGTTTTGATTCATATCTCGAGTTCAACAAAAGCTATTAACATGTGGTTTGCTCCATTTTGTTACGAATTTATTCCAGTTTCATTATAATTTACAATAAATAGGTGTTTTCATTAAAAATTTTAAAGAAAAACAAATTTTAATTTTTTTTATTTGAAAGTCCCCTCTACCTAGGACTATAAAAAGTTGTAGGTATTTATCCACAAATACTTTCCCACTCTCCCCCACCCTTTATTCCAAAAAATAAAAAAAAGTACTTGAACACCTTTGTGCAGAATTTATGTCCCTTTCTAGTTTACTTATCTAACACTTGGTATAATTGGACATATTTCCCAAAAAACTGGTTTTCAAAATTTTCTTCGCAGGTTACGCCCCCTAGCGGTTAATCCAGAATCTTGAAAGTTATTTCCAGCGATTTCTCTTGGCCACTTTTAATAAGGAATTTTTTTTCCTAAAGTTATAACATGAATAGTTTCTGATATATAGCCGAGAGATCGGCTTATTGGACCACCCGGTACAAGCACTTTTAAGAGTGGTGCGATACAAGAGGAGTAGGGTTACCGAAGACGTTTTACTGGCATATTTTAATATAATGGAAAATGAAACTAAATGGAAATCTTCTGCAATGTGGTCACGATACTCTATGATAAAATCCGAGTTAGTTATTAGAAAAAATGTGGATATAAGCAAATTTTTGAAGTTACGTGCCTTTCTGAAAAAAACGAGCGAATGATATACTGCAAAGAAGTTTTCACTAAAGACGAGTTTGATAAATTTTTGTTTGAAGCGCCAGATAAGTTGTATTTAGGATTAAAGGTAAAAAAAAATTATATTGCAAAGCATGTAGTATACTCTACTAAATTATTAAAATATTTCAGATTGTTTTGTTAATTGGGGTTACCGGCGCCTGTCGATGCGACGAAATGGTAAAAATGAAGACTGTGGACATTGAGGATAAAGAAAATGTAATAATTATCAAAATCCCAGACAGTAAAACACGATAAATTAGATCTTTTACGATAATTGGTCAAAACTACATTAAACTGTATAAAAAGCATGCATCACTGCGGCCTGAAAATTTCACAGAAAACCGATTTTTTATCAAGTACCAAAATGGAAAGTGTTACCGAAGCGTCATGGGAATACATACGATCAGCGCAGTAGTCCAAAAAGAAGCTAGTTATTTAAATTTAAACGATGCAAGCGCATACACGGGTCACTCTTTACGACGAACTTTAGCAACACTTTTAATTGATGGTTGCGGAAATCTAGAATGCCTCAAACAACATGGGGGCTGAAGGATATATAAAGGATTCAATAAGAAATAAGAACGATAATGCTCAAAAAATTTCTCTCATGATTCGCCAATATCGAGAATGATTGCTGAAAGTTGTTCTCGACCATCAGTATCATCAACAATTACCAATGCGTATCAAGAGTCGGGAACATTTTTGCACGGTTTCAATTTTGAAAATGCCTCATTAACTAATTGTACTTTTAATATTACTTTGAATAAAAATGATGTTTAATTGTTGTTAATGACATTTGTATTGTTGTTTTGTGACATGTTTCATATTGTTGCTATGACAACATTTTTTCCTCCGCCGTAAAGAAATGGGAAAAGAAACTGCTGCCGGCGGAGACATCAAATTTTGACAGGATCAAATTAGATAAGTAATGTCATTATTATTTGACGTTTGAAGAAAAAATTAATTTTATACATTTTCATTAAAAAATCCGTTAATTTCAGTGTGCCTCTGGCGAAGTAAATAAAACAAAAGCTCAATTAATTTCCTTATATAACTGACTAAAACTAACTAACACACGCGATAGGTTCCTAAAAACGTTTTCTTAACTACTTTAATTTTTTTCAGTTTATTATAATTTTATGCCCCTGGCACGATAATCCCACTTTTCAGAGTGTCTAAAACTGCCTCTATTTAGTATCCTTCAATACAGTATACCTACCAATAATCCGGAAAAACTCTGTTTATATTTATACAAAAAACTTTTTTGACAACATTTTTAATAGTTTTTAACTGTATTTAGGACAATGTGATTTTCGCACCAAATGATCCTCGAATAGTGTTCGAGGAAGAACGACAGACTCTTAGATTTAATGAAACTAAAATAACAGATGCTGGCCAATACAAATGCGAAGCTGAATATAAAGGAATAAAAGATTTTAGAGAAGTAAAGCTGGTGTTTTCAAGTAAGTTCATTTAATAATAGTGTTTTACAATTGAATATACTGCCAAATTTAGATACCATTACTTTGTCTAATTTGTATATCCATTCTCCACCTTCCCCATTTCTTCAATGCCTCATTCAGGTAGATTTTAAGGAATGTTGAAGATAGACAGCGGCCTTGCCTTGGACTCTTATTTCTCTTATTTACTCTAAAAAACTGTTTGTTAATCTTAATTTTTTTTTATCGATGAACATTATAGACTCCTTGTATTGCTCTCATGTAGAGGAACTGTGGACAAAATGTTAAAACATAATAACTGAGAAAGCAACAAAAATATTGGGGAAAACCAAACCAGTTAAAGAAAACGAATGGTTTGACAAGGAGTGCCAAGAAGCAACAGATAACAAAAACAGGGCATACCTAAAGACAAATCAAGCTGGATGCACAAGAAGAGCAAAAGAAGAATACCCGACACTAAGAAGAGAAGAAAAACGATTACATAGAAGAAAAAAAAGACAATTTGAGCAAAAGCAATTGGAAAGCACAGAATGGCTAAGAAATCAAAATGAAACTCGAAAGTTCTACAGAAATCTAAACAAAATGCGCAAAGAGTTTAAGCCAAGAATAAGGAGCTGTAAGGATGTAGAAGGAAACATCCTAAATGATACGGCCTCAATCCTAAACAGATGGGTTGAATTTTTCGATGCAAAATTTAATGGCCGTCATATCGAAGAAGCAGACAACACCCTAGCAAATTGAAATGATTGGAATCCTTTCAACCCAAACGAAAGACCACCTACCATCGAAAACGTTGCCCAAGCCATTAAAAAGCTTAAAAATAATAAATCACCAGGAGTTGATCAAATTTGCAGTGAGCTCTACAAGAATGGTGGCGATGCCCTACTACAGACACTGCATAAGCTTTTACTTCTTGTTTGGCATAATGAGATCATGCCTTGTGAATGGTCTCAAGGCGTGATATGCCCGTTACATAAAAAAGGTGACCAGCTCCAGTGTGACAACTATAGAGGTATAACCCTGTTAACAACTGCTTACAAAATACTAGCAAATATTCTCTACGAAAGGTTGCAAGTTTACACAGTGGGCATAGTTGGTAAATATCAAGTTGGATTCACTCCAGAAAAATCAACAATTGACCAGATTCATTCAATAAGACAGATTCTCGAGAAAACATTAGAATTCAATATTGAAACCCATCACCTATTCGTCGACTTCAAGGCCGCATACGACAGTGTCAAGAGAACAGTGCTATACCAATCAATGCATAAGTTTGGTATACCAGAGAAACTTATCCGACTAACGAGAATGACAATGTCTAACTTAGAAGCCACTGTTAGAATACAGGGAGAGAGTTCTAGATCCTTTGAGATAAAGGATGGACTCAGACAAGGAGATGCTCTGGCTTGCCTCCTATTTAATATTGCCTTAGAAAAGGCAGTCCGAGATACACGAATTCGGGATGGCGGTACTATTTACAATAGATCGATACAAGTCTTAGCATATGCTGATGACATTGACATAGTAGGGCGTAGCAAGCGAGATGTTGAACAATATCTCCTAGAATTGGAAACAGCGGCGAAACAGGTCGGTCTAGTCATCAACGAAGACAAAACCAAGTACATGTTGGTTACAAAGGATCCGATAGCAAATGACAAACGAGAAACAGTCTTTGGAAGTCATACCTTTGGACGTATTGACAACTTCACATACCTTGGGTCGCTATTGACTGCTACCAATAAAACAAGCGAAGAAATCAAAAGACGAATAAATCTTACAAATAGGGCATACTATGGACTCCAAAAGCATTTCCACTCAAGAAACATTCAAAGAAGGACTAAAATTATTATATACAAAACATTTCTGAGGCCGGTCCTCACATATGGAGCAGAAACATGGACACTAACGCAGAAAGATGAAAGACTTTAAGGGATAATTTGAGCGTAAAATATTCCGCAAAATATTTGGAGCTGTAAACGACCAAGGGCAGTGGCGCAGAAGATATAATTTTGAATTGTATCAGCTCTTCGATGAGCCAGATGTCATAACGTTCATTAAAACACAGCGACTTAGATGGGCTAGATACATAATACGAATGCCAGAAAATACAATTGCTAAAAAGCTAACCACAGGAACACCTGTAGGAAAAAGAAGCAAAGGCCGACCGCGAATTAGGTGGTTAGATGGAGTAGAAACCGACTTACGAATATTAAAAATCAGAAGATGGCAACATGTTGCCAAAAACCGAACAGAATGGCGACGAATCTTAGAGCAGGCCAAGATCCACAGAGGACTGTCGAGCCAAAGATGATGATGTATTGCTTTCATAAATATATTATAATAGATGAACTTTCCAGTATTTGCCATGTTCTACATAGAGGTTTTGTCTCATAAGATTTTTTGAAATCCACATAATAGATAAATTGACCTATCCCTAGCCATTCTTTTTTCATTAAGTTGAATTAAATTGTGGATGTGGTAAATGTTAAGATCGTCTTACTTGAAATCCTACTTGCTGTTCCAGCTCAAGTGGTTGATATTTGATTTTGACTAGGATTTTTATAACTTTTGTATATAATCTACTGAGAGTGTTGGAAACTAAAATGTAGAAGTAGTTCTTGCAGTCTACCTTATCCTCTATTTTATGAATCGGTGTATAGTAACTCATAACTATAGTAACTCATTATTCTTTTCAGTTTTGAAGTCTAATATCTACATTTAAGTATATGTATATTAAAAAGTTCTGTCAGTATATCAAGAAGCGTTGGTGTTAGATTTTTCAGAAGTTCAGCAGAAATTTCTTGTAATCCATAGGATCTTTTATTTTTTGCTTAGCGTCTTTGCTCATCTGTAGTTTCCCACTGTTAAGTACGATGTCTTTTAATATACCAGGTGCCAAAATTCATAATTCTTTTTCGTTTGACAAGTCGTCTGTCAAATTCATCTGTTATCTTGTCTTTACTAGGAATTTTACCATGCAACTCTTTTTATAAGAGCAGAGGTGCTGGCTCTACATAATTGGAGTAGCAGATACTCTTCTGTTTCGGGTTACTGTACCTTATCTGATTTGTTCCAGTTTAATAGCGCTGAAAACTCGCCATTATCTCCTCCTTTTAGCTACATAGCGTACACCTATTGCACGCCACGCATTGTCCAGAGGTAATGAACATAAACGTAGAAGTAAAATTTGCTGGAATGTTCTGTTAAAAGAATTACGTACAATTCTCAAGGTTTAAGCATAGCAAAGACCTCCGCAAACTTTGCTATTTCTAAGAAAAAACCTCCAATCCTTTGACCATCACGTACCATAGTGCTATTGTTAATATAAAATTTCTTTGTACACCAGTTTTCATATAAACGTTCAATCCCATTTCATCCCAATCAGTAATATACTCACTTGTTCGACTTTCAGTAGTGTATAAAATTAGACTTTGCTAGGAAACACGCTTAGAATAATTATTAGATTAGCAGATTATGGCTAATAGTACATGTCTTTTTAGATGCTCCTGGACCTAGACAAGATTGGCTGATTTATATCATACTGTTACTTTTCTTAGCTTTAATTTGTGTGGGAATATTCCTTTTATTGAAAGTTAGGAAGGAAAGGGTAAGTACATTTTATGTTATCAATAAAAATTGGATTGACTATTTTTATTATACACTGCAAAAAAATTATTTTTAAAACTATTATGATTTTATAATTGTCTAATTTATTAAGTTTTTATTATTTAATATATACACACTGTTTAATTTTCTCACATGCGAAAAATCATGTTATTTTTTCGCTGTATTATTAACTATCCTTTTATCACAATTTTATAATCAACACCTTAGTCCAACCCTTAATAACCCTTCCTACTTACATTTTACCCCCTCTCCATTAGAAATACAGACAGTTAAAATAGCAAAGAAGAAAGACACTTTCTTGATTATCAGCTGTCGATTAGGACAGAACTTTTAGTTCGGCCATCACTAGTGCCGGACGTTCTCTCTCATTGATTAGCTCTCTCTTCGCTTATCAAGAAGAACAGCATCGATCTTGGCTGTTCTTCTATCGTAATTACTTTTTTCCCGCTTTAGTTACGCGAGAAATATCGAAAATACTGAATTAAATCGTGTACAGACAAAGTGTGCTCTATCTCGCAAAGTGTAGTACTGCGAAATTGTGAAAAATAACGTGTTTAGAAAAACCGCGAGTGTGCCTGGACATATTCCACATAAGAAAAGAAGAACCGCGAGTGTGTGGAGCAGAAAAAATATTGGTTAAACTTTCTATAAACTTAATTTGCTATTGTCTGTATACCTTTTATTACATATCCTAGTTTTATTGAACCAGCCCTATATAATACAGTCCACATACACGGAAATTATATTAATAATTTTCCACATATGTACACACTTTTTGTACACACACAAAAAAAGTTATTGTAACCACCACCATGTCTCTGATTGTTTCCCAGAAGTACAAGAAGAAGAATTTGATTACTGACGAAATAGTATCAATGATGGACGACCGCATATCATTTAAAAACAACAACCGAACCAAACATCAGCAGATTAACCGACAAATACGAAAAGAGTGCCGCAAAGCTAAAGAACAGTGGTTCCTAGACAGGTGTGCAGAAATGGAGGAATTGGAAGAAAAACATGACCACTTTAACATACATAAACTCGTTAAAGAAGTGACAGGTCATACAAAAACGTTCCAGTTTAAACAGTACTGTGAAGGACAATAAATTAAGTACTGATCCCAAGGATCTACTTCAACATTAGAGAAACTACACACAGCAACTATACTCAGACAACATTAGAAGAAACTCTGAAAGTGAATATAAAAGTGAACTTTCCCCCAAAATATTGAAGTCAGAAGTTGTAAGGGCAATCAAACAGAGCAAATGGGAAAAAGCAGCAGGCCCAGATGACATATACATAGAGGTTCTAACAATGTTAAGTGAAGACAATATAGACGCCTTGGTAGATCTTTTTAATGGCATTTATGAATCCTGTCAAATACCACAGGATTGGCTTTAATTAAACCTTAAAACAATCCCGAAAAAGCCAAACGCTAATAGTTGCGACCAATTCCGAATGATCAGCTTATTGAGCCAGGCCAGGTCACATAATTCACAAAAGAATATACAACAGATGTGAAAGAGACATTAGCCCCGCACAGTTCGGTTTCAGACAAGGATTTGGTACAAGAGAAGCACTAAGAGAGAAAGCTTAACTGCCCTACTTCAAAAATGCAGGGATTAGCAAAAATATGTCTTCCTATGCTTTCTAGATTACCAGAAAGCGTTCGATTGTGTTAATAATTCAAAATGAGTAAGATTGCTCCAGGAACGTTCGATAGATGAGAATGACCTTAAAATCATAAAAAACCTTTATATGAATCAAGTGGCATCTGTGAGAGTAGGACTGAAATCTACATCATATTTCTTAATAAAAAAAAGGTGTACGACAGGGTTGTGTTCTGTCACCCCTCCTTTTTAATCTTTACTCTGAAACGATTTTCGATAGAGTCTTAAGTGACACTGAAGATGGAATCAAAATCAACGGACAGACTATTAGTAATCTTCGTTATGCTGATGATACAGTCATAATAGCTGATAGTCAAAAAGTGCTACAACATCTAATAGATGGAATAAACACTGAAGGAGAAGGACTGGGCTTAAATATTAATATAGACAAGACGAAGGTATGGTAGTAGAACACGAAATATGCAATTAAATTAAAAGTAAACAATAAGAATATCCAAAAGGTCCCTAAGTTCAGATATCTGGGTAGTTGGATAACTGAAGATCTAGATCCAGACATAGAGATACGTAGCAGGATTAAGCAAGCCAGAACAGCATTTACTAATATGAGAACCTTGGTGTTTTTAATTTTTAAGTCTCTGTTGTTTTCAATGACTCGCTCTATTAAGTTCTCGTTCCATTTTTGTATGTCGCGTTTTAGTTCTTTTCTAATTGTTTTCTCTATATTCTTGAGTATGTCGTTTGTTTTGCGCTAGTAGTTGTCTTCTTTCCGTCATTAGCTGTTTAGTTTCATTGCTTATTTTGTCTTCTTTAGTCCTTATTTTCTTTTTGACCTGTAGTTCTGCTGCGAGAAGGTTTTTATTTAGGTTTTTATTAATCTCGTCAATTTGATCTTGATTATGTGAAGGATCAGGTTCGAACTTATCCGCTAAGACCTCTCGGAATTGCTCTTAATTTGTTCTTAGTTTAAAGGCATCTTGGCATTATTATGCTTGAATAATATATATTATGGATGTGTGAATTTATATGTTTACGATTTGAACAATGATAAATGTATTGAATAGCGAATTGCGTGAGGGCAGCTGTGGCTGTATCCTCTGCAACAGACAGGTATCATTGTGCAGTGGGATCGGGAAACCACAGAAAATGGATCCCTCGCTGTCTATGCAAGGTCGAAGTGAGCATTTAATAGTTATTGCGACGACAACAAAAGAAGAGAGTTGCCTCCTGTCTGTCAATGTATTCATCAGGAAGCTCGTTGCTGGCAAGGGCCAGTAGTATTGAGAGTAGGAAAGGGATTTTAGGTTTTCTTCTGAATACATTGCCATTGCCTCCATTGATGGACGAGCAGGTAGTTTTCAATAAGTTTTGGGCTCTGAAGTTTTGGCCACGGATGGTTTTGATTGTGTAACTACTGCTCAAAGCAATGCAGGCTCTGGATCCCAGTATAAACTTTGATCTATTTCATGAGCTTCTCGAAGCCACACTATGCGTCATAGCTGAATTCAAAGGGGCTCGTACCGTTCTGGTAGTCAATAATTCTTGAACTCTGGTCAGGGCCAGCTTTACAATACCTTTATCTTTTGGAAACAAATTGATGTCACTAGTTTTATAGAAGGCAACGTTCTGTATATCAAAAGCCATGAATATTTCTTTTTCTCTTTTATCTAAAGCTTGTTCTTAGTTTACAATATATGTTTCGGGACTTATTAGGAAGTGTGATTGATGTCAAAGACAGACTTTAGAGAAAAATACAGTATTTTTAAGTGGACTTCATATTTGACAAAGTGACGAGAAACACAGTTTTGTTCTTCACAACAGACTACTTAAATACTGTTTTTTTCTTTCTAAAGTTTGTTCTTCGTATACACTGTGAAAGCAAAATTACACATTGAAGGCCAAGAGCAGACAAACGTAATAGATAAAGACCACCTACACGTTGGGCTGACATCAGGCGTATCACCAAAAGTTGGAAACAAAGAGAACACAATCACATGGAATGAGGAGTTTAAGGAAGGCCTATATCCAGCAGTGAACGTGATAAATGAAGGCTGGATGGTGATGATGATGATACATTATAAAAGACAAGTTATTTATGATAGATCAGCACTAAATTAGAGAATTTTAGTTTTTTTACCTTTATTTAACTAATAATAATAATATTTTGTAGAAATTAAAGCAAGAAATGAAGCTTCTGGGTCTCGCTAATTTCGAGAAAGGTGCTGTTGAAAATATAAACCCAGAACTTGGTATTGACGACCAGGCGGAACTGTTACCCTATGATCGAAAATGGGAATTTCCAATAGAACAACTAAAACTGGGTAAGTAAAACACAAATAACTAAGAACTGACAGTATTTATGTCGGTATTCTGAATGTATCCTATTTCCAGTCTTCTTCTTGGTCGTTACATGTAGACAAGACTCTGTCTGTTTTTCAATGTGCCTCCAGTAAGTTGTCGTTATATTAGGTACTTGTTCTATTGTCTGCCTTTACCTACAGCTCCAATTTGGACTGTTTGTTGACTCCACGACGCATTTTAACTTTTTTGTAAAAATTAACATGTTAAATTTTTGGCCATTATATTAAATTGGTGTAGCATACGTTGTAAGTCGTCTTCACTCTGAGAGAGTAATATTGCGTCGTCTGCATAGCAGATTATTTTAAGTTGTTTTTATCCTATTTGGTATTATTTTTAGTTCTTACTTTTTTATTATTTGATCTATAATCAGGTTGAATAATAAAGGACTCGGGAATCTTCATATCATATCCCATCGCTAGCTTCAATAGGATCAGTTAGTTTCTCTTCTACTTTTACCTTTATTATGTTGTTTTGGTAGATATTTTCGATTTTTTTGATTATTCATAGAAGTATATCTCTTGCGTACAATAAGTGGATCCTCCTCCTTAGTCCTAATCCCATTTGGGATGTGGTGACATCATCAGACCTTTACAGTTTTTTCACGATTTCCCTCCATCCTTCTCTGTCCTTGGCTAGTTGTTCGGCTTCATGTAACCCTTGGTTAATCAATATTTATGTTTGATCTACCTAACAGCTTGGAGATCTTCCTCTAGTTCTCTTTCCTTCAACTCTACCCTCGACTATCAGTTTTTCCATCGTATCTGTTCTTCTAGCGATGGGTCCAAAATACTGCAAATATCTCTGTTGTATTTGTTTAAGCAATCTATCATTTACTTTAAGTTGTTCTTATATAGATACGTTAGTGCAATGATCAATCCAGAATATTCTCAACATGCGGCGGTATACCTACATTTTAAAAGCGTCCAGTTTATTTTTATCCGCTTTCTTTAAAGTACATGTTTCGGATGCATATGTGGCAATGGGAGAAATGAGCACCTTTACCAGCCTTAGTTTTGTGTGTATTGTTATGCTAGAATTTTTCCAATTTGCTACCAATTTCATCATAGCTGTTCTTGCAATAGTCAACCTTCTACGTATCTCTCTGTCACAGTTTCCATCATTTGTTATTAGGGATTCCAGGTATATAAAACTATTTACTACTTTAAACTACTTTAAAGCCCCCAATTTCCTTCAGACATATCATTATGTCTTCATTTTCTTCTTGATTTGTCGCGATTATTAAAGTGTCATCAGCATATCTCAAGTTATTGATTTTTTGACCTCCTACTGACATTCCGCCCTTCCATCCGTCTAGTACCTTTCGCATAATGTGTTCGCTGTAGATAGGCAACAGAGTTGGCGAGATTACATCCCTGCCTGACACCTGCCTCTGTTCTGAAATGATCGGAATGGGTGTTGTTTATTTTTACTGTGCACTTATTATTTTTATACAGACTTCTAATTAGTTGAATTAAGTGGTGGGGTGTTCCCATTTCCGCTAGTATGGACCATAGCTGCTGCCATTTGACTTTATTGAAGGCCTTTGTTTAATCCACAAAGCACATAAGCATAGAAGTATTGAATTCACGAGTTTTTTCGATTAGCTGTCTGACATTAAGGATGTGCCTTTTATTGGGACAAATCTCGCTTTATAAACTACGTTTGGCACAAAAATTAGACGAAGAAATAAACGGAACAGCGGAAGAAATGTATGAGACTTTGAAAATTAAAATTCATGAAGCAGCATTAGAAGCTCTAGGTACGAAAGAAAAAGTAAAACGTAGAAATTATTGGTGGACAGAAGGTTTATTAGAACTGGTAGAAGAAAAGAAAAAACTGTATCTCAAATGGTTAGCGACAAAAGATGAGGAAGACCGAAAGAACTATAACAGATACAAATATATAGTAAAAAAGGAAATTAAAAAAAACAAAAAACATAACCTGGGACAACAAGTGTGCAGAAATAAGCTCAATGGTAGGAGGATCTAGGTCCAGACAAGCTTGGAAAACTATCAACAGTCTTAGAAAAAATACAAACGAAACAAAAATAATAAACCCCATAGACCTAGAAAGATGGAAAAATTATTATGAAAATCTATTAAATGAACAACGTACACAGTTTCTAGACACACAGATAGATAGAGTTGAAACGGGGTTAAATGAAGTGGCGATGACTACCGTAGAAGAAATAAAAAACGCATTACAAAAAATGAAAAATAATAAAGCTCCTGGGCCGGGTGATTTACCTATCGAGTTATTCAAACATGCCACTGCAATAACATTAGAATTGCTTTGTAAAATGTTAAACAAGTGCCTACAAGGAGAAAGTATCCCAAGAGATTGGAAAGTCTCGTACATAAACTCCATCTAAAAATCTAAAAGGGAAACAGGAATGACTGCAGTAATTACCGAGGTATCAGCATTACGTCATCCACTGGCAAACTGTATGAAAGAGTTCTGAAAGCCAGAATAGAAAAAGAAGCCACAGAGATCGAAGAACAAAGTGGATTCCGACCAGGGAGATCTTGTGTCGACAATGTATTTACTCTCAAACACCTAACGAAAAAGAGATTAGCAAGAGGACTAGAACTTCATGCCACTTTTATAGATCTCCGTAAAGCGTTTGACTCCGTACCACTGCAGAGACTATGGACAACATTGGAAAACGCAGGTATAAATGCAGTATATATAAATGCCGTGAAAAAGCTATATCAAGATAACCAAGCTTATATTAAGGTTGGAAACCAAATTTCCAAGGATTTCACCCAAACAAAGGGTGTCAAACAGGGCTCTTGCCTCTCTCCAACCCTGTTTTAAATATATATTGGTAATGCTTTAAAACATTGGATGAGAAAATGCAGCCCAATGGGCATATGGGTAAATGACACTCCTATATACACAATCCTCTTCGCAGACGATCAGGTAGTTCTTGCCGAGGACCTACTAGATATGACGTACATGATAAACAAACTAATAGACGAATTTAAAAAATGGGGATTAGAGGTTAATACCGAAAAGACACAATACATGAATATAGGAGGCATCGGTCAAGACATGGAAACAGAAAGCGGATTAATTAAAAACGTTGATCAGTACGAATATCTCGGAGTTACACTAAGCGAAGACGGGAGAGACGACAAAGATATAACAAGAAAAATAGGAAAAGGAAAAAACATGATAAAAACACTACATCCGATCCTGTGGAATAAAACTTTAACTAAGAAAACAAAGAAAAATATATATCAGGCTATGATTCAGCCGGTGCTGACGTATGGGTCAGAAGTGTGGGTCTTTAACAATAATATGTCACAAAAACTCCTCTCAACGGAAATGATGTACTGGAGAAGATGTTCCGGGTTAACTTTGTTTGACCACATAAGAAATGAAAACATAAGAGAGAGAATGAAAGTAAAGAACACAATAATGGATACGATAGCCGAAAAACAATTAAAATGGTATGGACGCCTGAGACGGATGAACGAAGAAAGGATACCACGAAAGGTTTGGAACTGGAGACCTACACAGAGAAATAAAAGGGGAAGGCCAAGAAAGAAATGGATATCCAATATTCATATAGAAATGGAAAATAGAGGTTTTCAAGAAGGAGACTGGGCGGATAAGAAATTATGGCGATTGGGATGCGAGAAGCGACAAAATTAAAGTTGCAAACACTCGCTATATATATATATATATATATATATATATATATATATATATATATATATATATATATAATATATAATATATATAATCTCGCTTATTCATCTGATATCTGAACCAATAGAAAATCTTTTAGTCTTTCATGTATTACATGAAGTAGAACCTTGCTTGCATGGGATATTAGGGTTACCGTTCTGTATTTGCTGCAATCTAGCGGAGTTCTTTTTTTGAATGTAGGGATGAAAGTCGATGTTCTCCAGTCGTTGGGCCACTCTTAGGTTTCCCAAATCTTTTTGCAGATTATATGCATAACATTTACTCCAACATCTCCAGTCTCTTTTAAAACTTCTGCGGTGATCTGTTTTGTGCCAGATATTTTCTATTTTTCAACTTTTTGATTGCTTTTTCTACCTCTAACTTTATAATGTTTGTAACTCTCTGCAGTGAACTCATCGTGATTTGCATTCTGGAGATCATCTGGATATAGACTTTGACAATATTATCTCCATACCTTCACAATCCCTTTCTCGTCATTTATAATATGTTGGTTTTGATCTAGCAATAAGTGGAAATCGTCCTTTAATTTGACCTGATCTTAAGGTCCGCAAGACATAAATATGTCGGTTTATTGTATTCTTATGACTTCTCTTGCACTTGCCTCATTATAAATTTAAATTCAATAAAGAAATATTAAAAAATTTATATTATATTCATTAGATAGATGTTCTAATTATATTTTTATTTTTTAGGAAAGCAGTTGGGTTCAGGAGCATTTGGTGTGGTTCTTAAAGGTGAAGCTAAGTGTATCGTGGAAGGAGAACCCGTGACAACAGTGGCTGTGAAGATGGTTAAGAAGAATGCGGACAACACGTACATAAAGGCTCTAGCATCAGAGTTGAAAATCATGGCACATCTGGGAAAACATCTTAACGTCGTGAATTTACTGGGAGCTTGTACCAAAAATGTTGCCAAAAGTAAGTTGAAAATAGTAAGATAAGCAGTTAAGTTAAGAGTTAATCATACTCCCCTCTTTCTAGGAGTAAGATATTTTAAGCCTTAATTTAAATTATCTTCCTAAAACTGTTTTTTCTCATAAACTATTGATAGTTGTCGTAGAATAAACAAATGTGTACATAGTCAGTGTAAATGAATTAAAATAAACATAAAACAGGCGTATAATTGTATAAAAAAATAAATAACATTTTTGGAAGAAATCATCTTATGATTTTTCATTAAATAATTTTCACTACAAAATATTTTTTGTGTTTTTCAGGAGAACTTTTGGTGATTGTCGAATATTGTCGGTTTGGCAATCTGCAGAACTACCTCTTGCGCCACAGGGAACATTTTATTAACCAGATAGATCCCCACACGGGTAAAGTAAATTATATGATAGGTCATGAGCTTTTGGACCGGACCTATTCCATATCCAGCAATAGAAGGTACGTATAAAAATAATTTATTGTATTTTAATGTTCCTTTGTTTCCTTTTCGCTTTTTATATTAATTCATTAAAAAAGATTTTTTAATGTTGCACTTGTCCTAGTTTTTTGACACCTTTAATCTGAATTTTTTCCACTATTTCTGCAAATGCTTCGCTTTTATTTCTTTTTAGCTCTTTATTTTTTTTTTGCTTGTTTTTCTAGTCAAGTTCAGTCTCCCCTTATGAGATATGCTACACTTGCATTTTCTGATTCTACCAACAGTGCCGGGTTGCCACCTCAAAATACGATGGGTGACTACAGAGCTCACGCTGCATCCGATGCCACTGATATGACTACTGTCACTCAAGGTAAATATAATTATTATAATATACACATTAAATTCAAAGAAAATATGAAAACTAAGATTGTTATATTACTTGATTTAAAAAAATATCCATAATAGAAATTTAACATATGTGTTCACCATTTTATAGTCTAATTAATTTTGAAATTAGTATAATATGCAAATACCTATTTAAAAAAATCAAAAATAAATTAAAATATTAAATTAATGTGAGGTTGAATGCTCGAATAAATAAACTTTGAAAAATTAAGGCAAATATCGAGCACAAATTTAATAATCAAATCTTGCCCAAGTACTTGCGCTTTCTAGAGCATCATCAGGGGCATTTCGTCAAATTTGGGCTATCCAGCAAGCGAAGAATGTAATACACATGAAATTGGACATAAATTGTACATAATACTACATTAACACAAGGACAAACATTTTAAAATTATTAAAATTATTCTACTCTCTAGCTTAACTGATCTTAATCCGCTTTCCCACAGTCCGCCAAAATGTGGAGAATATGGAGGTATAAAAGACTGTGAAATATTATCCTTAGGAAAGAATTCTCTTATCGCGGGAGTGTGCTGCTCTAAAAACTCTCTTAATGTTTTTATCTCGGAACTAGTTGCTATGAAATTGGTTACATTATCGAAAACTATCTTTTGAGGCTTGCCTCTTTTGTATTTTGCTTTTCAGCTTGATTTACCTCAAGTGATTCTAAGAGGTCCGCCCTTAATTTTAAAAACGTTTTGAAATCCTCAAAGCTAGAAATTTCATTAGGTGTTTTGCTATTCTCCCACGCTCGTAAAGTCAATGTGGCGAACTTACAAGAAATAATATGAATAAGGAGTATGTCCCATGAATCCGTGGGTAGTTCTAAAAGATGTCAACTAACTGCCGCAATCTATTAGATGACTCTTTATGGATTAGCTCTATATTAAATAAAGCAAAAAAGTTATTGGAAACTAATAATCTCTTATTGTCGTACCTTTCCCTGATTAATTTTCACGCAACTGCATAGTTTTCCTAAGTAAACTCTAATGTTCGTATTACATGCGTCGTACCGCCCTGTAATGAACTTCGTAAATAATGAAAACGCCTTATATTGTCTAAGTACTCATTTTTGTTAACCAAAGATGCAAAATCTAACCAACTATTATAATTACCATCAAATTTTGGTAATTCGATAGGTTTAAGCTCAGTACAATGCCCTGTATATGAATCAGCCATTTCCATGATTGTTTCTTGGGAAAATTAGGCTCTAGGTGGTTTCCCGTTGCCTTTCTAGAGTGTGTAATGTGTGTGTAAAGAGTTAGACATGAGGAGGTCCTTGGATGGCTAAACCAAACAACACTTCTTCTTCTTCTAGTTCCTATCGGTTTCGGATGTTGGAAATCATATTCGCAATCATAACCTTGCTCGCTGCGGCTCGAAACAGCTCCTTTGAGGTTTTCTTAAACCATGTTCTTAAATTCCGCAGCCATGATATTCTCCTTCCAAACAACACAACTGGTCAATATAATTAAGAAACGCAAGCTGGAATACTTCGGTCCCATTATGAGATACCCTGAAAAATATGATCTTTTACCTCTGCTCATTCAGGGAAAGATCCAAGATAATCGTGGTCCTGGTAGAAGAAGAACATCATGGCTAAAAAATATAAGGCAATGGTATGGAAAATCAACTACTTCGTTATTTAGAGCTGCTGTCAAAAAAGTCACGATAGCGAATATGGTAGCCAACATGATATCCAACGATCGATAACGGTCATGGAACTAGAAGAAGAAGAAGTATATGAATTCTTAGAGCACTCACTAGGTTCATTGCCCTTTATACATCCTACCTGTCGATTATCGCGAATGATCTTTTGCGCTACCGCTAATTGTGAATAATATTTGTTGTAGAATTTTTCGTGGTCGATATATTTACCATCTAATAATTCCAATTCGTCATGTAAATGTTCTATATTATTTACCATTTTTATAGCCTGTAAAATTTCTAAATCTGAAACCGTTTCCCCGCTAGTTATTTTATTATTCAACGCTAATATAAATTTCGAAAATATTGTAAATTTGTTTTTTAAGCCACCCCTTTTTCGCATTAAATTCTACATAATTTTATAATGAATTAAACAGTAAACAGAATGTAAATTGCATGATATTCGACCTAACTTTCTAATAATTATAACGTGTGCAAAATAAAGATATAACAAATAATAAATAAAAGGAAATGTGTAATGGAATATACTCACCAAAATAGGTCCAAGGTCCTCACAAGTGGGGAGTCCACACTTGTGAAGGCCAAGGTCTTCACAAGTTTAAAAACACAGTTATCCAATTATGTAACTGTCTTAAGATTCACACTATAAACGCGCTACCTTTTTTATATTATATAAGAATTTTGACGATCCGGCTTGAAGGACCATAAATGTTACTTGATTTGCATTTCGAATGTGCCGCTGGTAAATAGTCAAAACCCCGTGTGAAAAAAGAACTTTATTTATTTTAAATCAACACAATAAATAAATATATTGGCGTTTGTCCTGCTAATTGGTATTATGATTCGCTTCGCTCTTGTTCTCGTTCTCGATTGTGTATGTGCTGTCGCCTTGCTATTATTTTCGTGACTTGTCTTAATCTTCGTATTTAACACATGCAGATACTGCTACGTTGCCGCATCGGAAAAAATGCATGAAATAAACTTAAAATAGATAATGGCGTGAACAAGTATGGCTATCTAATATTTAAACAATAATAAATTTAATTTAATAAATAAATTTATTATAATAAATAAATAAATAATACATTTTTTAAGGTGATGACAGCGTTGTGCTTAGCAATAACAGCGTCCAACCAGAATGGCGCTCGAATTATAAGGGCGACTATAAGGATAATATACATCCGATCAGCACCAAAGATCTCATTGCTTATGCTTTCCAAGTCGCTAGGGGAATGGAATATCTGGCTTCAAGAAAAGTAAGTCATCGTTTACTTTATGAGTAGATTTTATAATGGTTTAATAACGATCAAAGCTTTAACTTTCAATCAATTAATGATTTTTTAGAGTTCACTGTTTTTGCACCTTTTGAATCTTTTTTCTTTACCTACTGTATTATTTAACATTCGTTGGAATTGGAACATAATAATAATTATTTTTTTTTTCGATACACTGAAGATATTCTTTAATTATTTCTTTGATTACATAGGTACTTCATGGAGATTTAGCAGCAAGAAACATATTACTAAGTGACGAGAATATTGTTAAAATATGCGATTTTGGTCTAGCCAAAAGCATGTACAAAAACGACAACTACAAAAAGCGTGGCGATGTAAGTATCTATTTTTAAATACAGTGAAACCTCTTCATAGCGGGCACCAAAAGATAAAAATAATTGTCTGTTAAATGGAGTTGTCCGTTGTGTAGAGTTATCGCTTAATCAATTGGAATAAAAAAGAGGTTTCGATTTGCTTGTATACATTTTCGTACAAATTTGCATAAGCATATACATACACAAATAAAATACTAATGCAAAAAAGTACTAATGTATGTATTACTTATTAGAAAAATCATCAATTTTGATTTGTTTTTTGTTTTGAACATTATTTTTCACAAGTTCTGACTCAACATTTAGATATTTATCGTAATTATTTCATATATTTTTTGACTTACTTGTCATCACCTTTATATAAAAGATAATTCTTAATAAGTTTCTTAATTTTAGGAAAGCATCATTTAAATTACTTACTTACAGTTGTGGTACATTCTAGTTCATCGTCACTTTCATTGTCGGAAACATTGGACACATGTTCGTTTTCTTTAAAATTACTACACAACTAGTTAAGTTTACTTCAGGATTTTTCGTCAATAAGGCTGCATTAGTCTCTAGGTAGTTCAAGATATTTTCAACTCCATGACTTTACAAAAGGTTGACCATCGCAAATCATCTTCTAGGACTTATAGCAGATTTTCCACAATTTGTTCTAAAAAAGGTTTTTCTTTTTCCCCATTTAAATTTGCACATGGTCAGCATTTCTTTGGAACCATGGAGAACCATAGTCATGGTTCTCCTTTCGGATTTGGGTCCCCCAATAAGTATTACCCTCCCCAATGCAGCCGCTCTATTCACAGCCTTCCGGGCCACCTCTTGCACATGCTCCCCCCATTTTCCATTCTGGTGCAATGTCACTACTAGGTACTTTACGTGTTTCTTGGATATTAGACATGCTTCATTGTAATTTAACACTTTGCCTGTTCTTTTTTGCCCTTTATAATGATGGCTCCGGCTTTCTCTGCCGCAAGTTTCAGTCCGTGCTGCTTCATCCATTTTTTTACGACGCGGCCTGCCTTCCGAACCAGGTATTTGATGTCTGGCTCATCCCGTGCCACTACCAGTACAACGAGGTCATCCACGAATGCGAAAGGGGTTGTACCCTATCCGTATTCACAGGTACATCCGTACGTTAGGTACATCGTGAATATTATATCCGTGATATAATATTCACGATGTACCTAACGTACCTAGTTTTATGACCCAGTTTTATAAAAGACCTACTTTTTCCAACTTCTGAACACAATCTATTCCACAGGAATCATTCCACGTGAATCCTGACATCAACATTTATTTGTTTATCAAAGAAAGTAAATGCAAAAAAATGTAGTGATTATCGAACGATCAGTCTAATGTCAAATACCTTAAAAACTCTGCTAAAAATCATTCATAATAGAATACACGCTAAGCTGGAGATGGATATTAGATGGATATTAGTGATGGATATTAGTGATTCCCAGTTTGGAGAGAGGCACTATTTTCTTTTAACGTGCTGACCCAAAGATGTTTGAATGTTAATCGAGATCTGTATGTTTGCTTTATAGACTACAACAAGGCATTCCATAAGGTAAAACATGACTGACTTATAGAAGTACTCAAAAGCAAGAATCTGGATGTGAGGGATGTAACATTAATATTAAATTTATACTACATCCAACGATCAAATGTAAAAATTGGAAGAGAAGTATCCAAAGAAGTGGAAATAAGGAGAGAAGTCAGGCAAGGTTGCATACTGTCGCCGTTATTGTTTAATGCTTATTCTGAAGAAATCATACAATAAGCTTTGCTAAACGAGACAGTCGGCATAAAAGTGAACCGAAGTTTAATTAACAACATTAGGTATGCCGACCATAAAGTCATAATAACCGACAAATTGGAAGACTTAGAAACAAAATATTAAGATATAGTAGAGAATACGGACTCCCTCTTAACATCAAAAAACAAAATTCATGAAAATTAGCAATAACAACAATACAAACGAAATATTAAAGGTAGGCGGCCAGCAGATTGAGAGAGTAAAAAGATATACTTACTTGGAATCGATAATCACAGGAAATAACGATTACACTGCAGAAATAAGAGTCAGAATAGACATTGGCCCTTTAGAATAGGACTATGGAGCTGAATTATGGACATTAAACCGGAACACAATAAATCGAATTAACGCGTTTGAAATGTGAACATTTAGAAGATTGTTAAGGATTCCATGGATAGATAGAGTCACGAATACAGAAGTGTTAAGGAGAATAGGCAAAAAGAGGAAAATGGAAAATACAATAAAAGGAAGGAAATTGCAATATCTTGGACATG